AAAAGGTGGGGACAGGAGTGCTGGGGAGGAGGGAGGCCTGAGAATGGGAACGGGGCCATTGGATGAAGGGTACAAACTAGGAATGGAGGGAGTGGAGGGAAGATGGTGAGGACTGAGGACTGTGCTGGGAATACATGCAGTAGCTCTGAGCTCTAAGAGTAGTAATGCAGGGCCGTACACCTAGGATTAGGTACTAAAAGGGCTGAGCAGAAGGTGCCAGTAAACAGGGCAAGTGAAAGGATTTCTGAAGCCTTCTGTAAAAAACAACCAAAGTGAGGACTAAGAAATTGGACACTGATCAATGATATGAAGAGTCATCTCTGCTCTTTCCCAGGCAGAGGCAGGGTCCCCAAAATGAAGTGGCTTCGGTGCTTAGAGTTCTAAGTTGGAGCCCCTACTGTGCCACCAATGACCTATGAGACCTCAGACAAGTCAGGTGGTCTTTGTCTCTGCACCCTCATCTCTAAGGTCAGAGTCTGTAGTCAATGTCTAAGGTCACTTCTAACAATCACACTCTATGGCCCCATGACCCATTCCCTGAAAAGACCCCTCAGCTTCCCTCTTCAGTCAGGGCTAGGAACAGGAAGGGAATCAACATTTACTGAGCACCTACTACAGGCCAGACCTGTACTAAGGGCTGTATCATCTCACTTAAACTGACCAAAACACTGGCAGGGCAGCAAAAGAAACCAAGGCTCAGAGGATTAAGGGACTAGTCACACAGCTGGTCAGTAACAGGGGTTCAGAAATGGTAGTTCTCAATCCAAACATAATCCAAACACCTTCTACTAGCTCAATAGGTTCTAAGACACAAAGGATGTCAAGAAACCTTAGGAGAAATTAGTGCCCATCAGTCTTACCCAGGGAGGCCAGGCTGCCACAGTTCTCCTGCTTTTCATCTCTGAAGAGGGTCACATGAGATGAATCCAGCTGTGTCCACCCAGGGGTGAGAGTCAGGGCCACATCTTCCATTTTCAGCAACCCCTAAAGCAATAAGTAATTCCACCTAGTTCCTCATGCCCCAAATCACTCCCAAAGCTGGCCACATGCAAAGAATGAACATTAAAGGTGCTCTTCGAAAAGAGCAAGTGGGCACACCTATACCTACTTAGCCTGTCTCTAAGAACATCTTTATCAAAAACACAACAGGCAAAGAAAAGAAATGTTACACACATTAGAATAAATAATTTCACTTAAATATCTGAACACTGCAGGGAGTGAAAACAAGGGCTAGTGCAGCAAAAGGAGTGAAATCATATCCAACTTTTCAAAAGGTTTGTTGTGCACTTTGGCAAAGTAGGAGTGGAGGCTCATTTATATTACTAATTTAAAAAATACAACAAAATCTAGGTCTGAGGTGAAAAAAATCAGAAAAAAAAAAA